TAAAGTAAAAATTAAATAACCCTCATTTCCTTGTGTTGGAGGCTCTCAGGTTCTGAAATGTGAAATGGAAATGGCCTTCATAGACATGTTTCTGAGTTTGAGGAGAGGCAGTTCTTTTGTCTTGAGACCATTTGAAAGCAAACCAGGTTACCCACCAAAGCCCAGAACTTTGTAAGTGGCATCAAGAGATAGATTTAGAATTGTTAAATGGTCTTTCAGCAGCTTGGAATTCTGTAAGATATCTTGCCTTATTTACTTTTTAAAAATTTCTCCCTTAACTTTTTCCTGCATACTTGGAATGTTTTTTTGCAGTCTGAGGGGGTTGTTGGTGAGGCTGAGTGGCTGAGTGCGGGTATTGTGGCAGAGGAGGAAAAGTAATTTATTCTGTCTACTGATGTCTTTAGTTTAACTTTCAGTTTTGGCAGTATGAGATGTGGGAAGCTTTGATAGGTGAGATTCAGTCCCTCAGGGTAAGTCTTAAAGTTGGCTTTTTGGCTCTTACTATTACTAATAGTTTCTGGTGGGAACAGAGATGAATTTTTAAGATTTAGCATTAATGGTGATTCACAAATGCAATGTAGACTATTGAAGCTAAGTCCAAGGTCAAGCATATAAGTGGGCAGACTGACTATATGAAGTGGTTGTGTGACTAGAGCACCCTCTCTGGCCTTTACCAAAATAAACAAAGGAGACAGTGCTGGAGTTGGAAGGCCATGGACTAGGAGTTGAGACCAGGGTCCTCTGGACCTTGCGTGCCAGCTCTGCAGAGGATGGCTTTTCATGGGCTCAGAGAGGAGTTGAGTCCTTCTGGTTCAGAAAAAGTTACTTAGGTCTGTAAAAGGCAGTAGGGTACTGGAACAAGAAAGAGTGGGAGAGTGCACAGTTCCCAGCAAATGTTGCCTCTGGAGGCTGTTTCATCAGTTGAAGGACAGTTTTGATCGAAAGAAAAGCACAGTGTTTCTCAGCATCAGCTGTGTATATCTTGCATGTGTATTTTTGAAAAAACTCTAACAATGAAATTGTTGTAAACTGTAAACTTTGTATTTTAATACCTACTTTTGGTTTCGACTCTAAAAAAGGAGGCTTTGACAAGGGAATAACACAAGAACACAAAGCAGTTTAGCGTGTTTGGTGCTTTCCCACAGGCTGTGGGGAGAGCCCTGCTAATCTCCTTCCCTGCCTGAGTCATCTAAATGTATGTTACCCAGGACCTGTCATGGTTTGTCCTTATCTAAGCTCGAGTGACCTTCGGATTCCTTTCCTCGCTTGTTTCTCCATTGTGTTATCATTTCATATTTATATTTCTCATAATGGGGCCTGTTTATATATTTTGAGGTAGTTCTATAGTGATTTTAAGATTTAGCATAACTTCAAGGTCATCTGGATTTTACGCTTCTATTTAAGTTTTCTAATCTGATACAGCCTTTTTGGGGTATTTTATATGTTTCTCTACAAAATAATGTGAGAGAGTTACATGTTTAATTATATATGACTGTTGTTTTTACTTTGAAATATTAAATCTTGCTCTGGAGAATGGAATAAGCTATCTTGTTTTTTATAGGCAGCTGTAGGTTACCCAGTTCGCCTCTCCCTTTCCATTAATTTTAAAGCCTGAGAGAGGAAGTAATAATTTCAAGATTCGGTGTAGAATGGAATAAACATTATTTTTAAAAAATTCCTAAGAATTTTTAACTCTCTGGCTTAATATGTTACTGACCTCACCCTACCACCAGCTGAAGGTGTGATCTTGATATTGATCTTCAGGGTCCTTGCAAGTTCTAGCAGTCAGGCACTTCTGTCTCAGTTATTCTTGTTTGAAAAGGAAAAAGCCTCTCTTTTTGGCTATCAAATTGCATCTTAAAATTTTTGGCAAATTACATAAAGCTGAAGAAGGATACAAATTTTGACATCTTAAAATCCACAGCGTTAAGGCTTGAAAGGACAATATTGGCGTACTGCTCAGTGGGAGCACGAGGAAGAGCCTTTTCTAGAGCAGTTAGTCGTGTCTGTGTTCATGGTGCCCCTCACCCACCTGAGTTGCTCCCTTCTGGGAACATCCCTTCTTATTAAGG